ATGGTAACTTTGAATGTGTATTCATGTTAACTTAATTTCGTGTGTGTTTATAAATTTTATATAAATATAGATTTATACATCAAAATTACAATTAATATAAATAATATGAATTAAATAAATATCGTAAATAGTTATTAATGTAAATTTATTTTTTTTTGCATATATGGACACCCTAGATAAAGAGAGAATTTCTTTATGAAGAAAATGAAGAAAAATGAAGAAAAAATGTAGAAAATGAAGAAAAAGAGAGAGAAAAATAGTAAAAAAAATCTTGATTGTACCAAACATACTTCCACCATCTTTTCTTTTCTCTAAACTAACCATTCACACAATGGATAATTAATTAATTATTACAGGAGGTTTTAAACCAAGTGTCTGCATTAAAAATTTTAAACCAAGATAAATAATTATTATATGCCTGCATTAAATAACCAAGTGGCTTTAGTTGACTTACCCAACAAAAGGAGATCTGAGCTGGGGAAATATTTCACTTCTTTACATGATTTTTCTATTTTAAAGAAGAAATGAGCTGGCAGGGGAGGACCATGACATTGAGAGTGAGTCAATGGGTTTATAAAATTTTTGTTAATTTTCCTCTTCTAATTGCCCTTTGTTAATTCATTATCTATACTGTGCAGTCCAGTAATTTTCAGTAGATGAGTTAAATACACCCATTCATTCTCTGTTTAGTTTTAAGAAATTAGTTACTATTTTTAATTTTGAACAAATTCCTTTTTCGCTTTCTGATGGTTTCCCTTTTTATAATAAGACTTTGATTTTATTTATAACATTTCCTTTTTTGTTGCTTATAATTTCTTTACCAATTGCATATTTCCTTTTTCTAAAACAAAACAATAATTTATGTATGATTAGATAGAACTGACCAAACATTTTATCAATAGCCAACAATTTGTTCGTAAAATGAATAACTGCTGGTTGTAAATGTTTTCAGTAATTTAATTTACATAGCCTAATTAATAAAATATTTATATTAACGTATTTTATATATATTAAGATCTAAATACATG